TCCGTATAGAACATGCTATTTTTCCAACTAATATATAAAGCGATATAAAGGTAATACCTTGTAAGTAATATTATATGTCGAGAAACTATAGTTACGTTTCTTGAATTTGACGCTTTATGTCAGTTTAATAATATATTTTCGTACTTTTATGCTTAGGCGTAAAAAGTGCTTTATTTTTAGCCTAGGCGTTAAAATGGCGTTTTTATATTGTCAATCACGGTCGCAAAAATTAATACTTTTGTGACGTTTGGAAAAAAAATTATTCTGCTCTGCAACTGTCATTCATAGATTATGACAGAATATATATTTAGAATTTCATATCAATTTTAAAAAGCATAAAATATACCTATAGCTCGTGTTATTTAAAATAAACAAACTGGTTGCGACTTCCTTCCGTTTAAAGAAGATACAACAGAAACTATACACCTAAAATATGTTTAAATTAAAACATTCGTTAGAATTTGTATCTACGTTATATTTAAAATAATACTAAAAATGTGTAAAGCCTTGTATCGTTTAATGTTTAGACCATTAGATCATAGTGCATTATCTAAAAATAATAAAAAGCAATACAAATTTCAGGTTTTTCATTAAGACTAACACATGACAGTTTGAATCGTTTGGTTTTTTTGACAAATTCAGTATTTAAAAAAATGTAGCATCACTGTATTATTTGCAACGTATGTTTAAACTATATATACAGAGTAGTCCGAATTGTAATCCGGAAACTTTGGCAACCTATTCTGCAGATAAAAATAAGTAAAAAAAGTTCGTATAAATGTATGTCCTAAAATGGCTTACTTTTAAACGGAGATACAGGGTGTAGAAGTTTCATTTTTATTTCGATTTTTTCCAAATAATTTCTGAAGTAACGTCAATATTTGAATGAAAATTGGTGTCTGGGAGTCTTTTGACATGAGAAATTTGATTTCGATGTCAGTATAGCTCCTATTTGTAGAGGATACTATGTATTTTTTAACTGGTTTGAAGGGTAATAACTTTTCGTCGGTACCTGTATAAAACTAACTAGTTAAAAATGCTTTTACGATGTTTTTTTACGTAAAAAAGGTCTCTTGATAAAAATCGCTATGAGTAATGGTTCTCGAGATATTTAGAATCAAAATTACCAATACCTGTCATCTCATCACTGACATAAATTAAACATGTTGACTAATTAGTTACTACTAAAATCGTAAATTTGCAATGTTTTTTGCCAAAAGTTCAACAGAAACTGTTTTATCATAATTTTTTCGAAGAAAAATTTATGATTAGTTTAAAAAAATAAAAAAGTTCCCAAATTTCTCATTTCAGTCAAATAACTATCTACTCAACATGTTATTTTTATTCAATAATGACATGTATTGACTATTTCCATTGTAAATATCTTGAGAACGGTTGCTCGTAGCAATTTTTCCAAAAGACATTTTTTACGTAGAAAATCACGGAAATGTATATTTTTTCACTCAGTAGTTTTATACAGGTACCGACAAAAAGTTATTACTCTTCAAAACAGTTAAAACACATGTAGGTAGCGCCCCCTACAAATAGGAGCCATTTTAACATTAAAATCAAATTTCTCATGTCAAAAAACCACCAGACACCAATTTTCATCCAAATATTGACGTTATTTAAGAAATTATTTAGAAAAAATCGAAATAAAAATGAAACTTCTACACCCTGTATCTCTGAAACTAAGCAATTTAGGACATGCATTTATACGAACTTTTTTACTTATTTTTATTTGCAGAATATACTGCCGAAGTTTCCGGAATACAGTTCGGACCACCCTGTATATTGGCAAAAAGTAAAAGTAAATCCATTTAATCACGCCAAAAACAGTCGCGAATAACAAAAATAGCTCATAAATATAAATTCAATTGCCTTCCTGTAGGATTGGAAAATAACGTGTATGCATACTTTAATGTTTAAACTATTAGATCATATCTTTTTATCTAAAAATAACAGAAAAAAACAGTAAATCTTATATACATAGGTGCAGCCAGTTTGCTTTATGAAAATAAATAAATTTATCAAATCTTTGGCGGTTTAGTTCATCTCTAATATTATGAAATTACTATGATTTTTTAATATTAATATTACCAAAACAAATCCACAACATTTTATTATTTTTGATTAACAAAACACCACAAAATCGAAAAAAAACGCATCAGGGAATACAGACCTTAAAATTATAAGGGAATGGCAACGATCCCCATTTCAAAGCCAACTAGACGCCGTTTTTTTTTTCAATTATACGGTATTGTAAGTAATACAGGGTGAATCTTAAATTAGTGCAAATATTTTTAGGGTAGACCCTAGAAACTCAACAATGAGTTTTTTTCGGAAAAAAATTTTTTGAAGATTTGGAACTTTTTGAAAAGTTTTTGAAAATTTCTTGATAATATGGCAACATAGGTAGTAGATTAAATTTACAAGAACCAAACCCAGAAAAGATCCGGTGGTTCTTAAAATTTAAGCAAAAAAATCATTATTTTTAAATTTTCAAAATTAAATATCTCGGTTATTTTGGACTTATTTGAAAAACGGTAAAGAGAAAATATGGTTCTTTTATCGAGATCTACAAACCCTGAAAATATTTGCACTTATTTAACATTCACCTTCTTTATAAGGACCGTTTAACACGGGACAATATTCCAGCCTAAATTGTATACAATTTGTTGCGCGCGCATTTTTAGTCAAATTGCATGCAATAAAATAGAACATGTTCTAAATTCTTGTATGGAATTAGCCGAACATGCGCAATGCATAATTTCAATTCTCTGATTTTGTAAGGTTATGTTACATTTGTTTGTTAAGTTAATTGTTTATGTTTGCTCTATGTTCGATTATGAGGCTTTTACTGACTGTAATTTGTGCTTCAAATTAAAACATGTCGTGGTATCAGCAGCAGGTAAAAATGCTTATAGAGCTCTATAGGGAACACCCTTGTTTATTATGCAGTAAAAAGTATCGAATACAAAAATAAACATCTACCTAAATCCCGCTCTTTTCTGCGCGTGCACTTGTACTAAATTTACTACCTGTAATCATTGTATTGTGATATACATACATATTTCTTGACCCCCATGCAATATTTTATAAAATATAACCCAAACTACTTTTCAGTTCTTAAATTTAAGTCCCGTGTCAAACGAAGACAATATAAAACCAGATTATTATCTCATAAAATCTTTTACGACCAGTTATATTAAGTTGTTTCATTAAAATAACAACGTGATTATTAAAATATGTAGATCTTATATTAACTATTTTAATATTTTTAAATGCCTATTATACATTCTTGTTTTTTGTATGATAGAAAAAATTAGTGTCAAGTTAGCTTGTTAAATGAGGATCGATGACATTTTCTCCATATAATTTTACATACAGGGCGACAATTTGAAAACGAACAGTATTTAATATTGCCTCTACCGATGATAGTATGAAAATTTGGCGCAACACGTCGATTTACATATCAAGCGGGACAATTTTTGAGGCATTTGTTGTCGTGTTACTTTCAATCCCTTGACCCCCAGGACACCTACTCCTAAAATTTTAAATAGCACCCCCATTTACCATTTTTGTGTATCTTATAAAATTCTAGATAAACTGCATTATTTTTTGAGAATTTTATAAGGAACACAAAAATGGTAAAAGAAATAGGGGTATTGGAAATCTTTATTTCCAAACCAACTCTGATGGAGGTATAGGTATTTAAATCAAATGTAAAAAAGTTATACCGTGTGGTGCTTTGTCGTTGAAAACATAGGTATATCAGAATTTAATAATAATTTTTTCGTCCCATTTTAAAAAAAATCATTAAAAGTCTATATAATTATATAAAAATAAATTAAATTATAAATTGAAACGCATATTTATCGCAAACGCCGCGTATAAAATAAACATTATTTTTGATTCAAAAAAAGAGAAAGTATAACATAGAACGAGATGGTAACCTTCACGCAACCTGCAAAATTGTTTAAGTTTTCTTTTACGAAACAACATTTTAGCCCTGATTTTAGATTAATGTCGAAATAAATCAAATATTTTTCTTAATATGAAATCAGAACCCCATTTTTCCACAACTAAGTTATCAAATTCAAGGAGATTTGAATGATTTGCTTACCGACACTTTCTTCTAAAAGAGTGAAAGTGTTTATTATTAATTTTGCAATATAATTATACAATAATGGATGCGTGAATAAGTATAATAATAGAGAAGATATATTTCATGACATAATATCAGGAAGGTTAAGTTCATTTTAGATAAAATAGTATATTGTTTTATTACGACTAAAAATGATACTTATTTAGAAAAAAATTCAACCATATATTTTTTTTAATTTTCTCTAAAACGGTATGGAGATTTCGAAAAGTATAAACGCGATTAACCATTTTAGAGCAAGCAAAAATTTTTATGAAGAATACCTTTTCCTCTAAATGTCAATAATAAATAAATTTTTCCACTTGTAAAGACAATCCGGGGACATGCTGTATACGAAAATTGCAAGATGAATAAAGCTTGTAATAAAAAAGTGTTGGGGTATTATTGCAGTTTTGTTTAAGATTTTTCTCTTAAAGCACCTTAACTATACAGGGTGAGTCTTAAATAAGTGCAAATATTTTTAGGATAGTATATTTCGTTTTTTTTTAATTTTTAGTTAAAAAAACATAATATCTTCATAATATGGCAACATAGGTAGTAGATTAAACTTACAAGCGAGAAAACCCAGAAAAGATAGAGTGGTTTTCAAAATTTAAGCAAAAAATCAATTTTTTGAAATTTTCAAAGTAAATATCCCGGTTATTTTGAACTTATTTGAAAAACGGTAAAGAGAAAATATATTTATTTTATCAAGATCTACCAGCCCTCAAAATATTTGCACTTATTTAAAAAACTCACCCTGTAGTATACCTAAATAATATAAATTCGAAAAAAATATATTTTTGAAATAAAATTCTAATAATATTTCACAAAAAATACACTTGCTCAACACTACCACAACTTATCACCTTCAAGCGAACACCAAACAGGTAAAAACCTAAAATAAAAACTCTTGAAAATAAAACTAAAAAAAGTGTGAAACTATTACACAGAGGGTGTCGTTAAATCGGGTAACTGATGCGTACTGTCAATTTAAACCGCGGACATGTAATAACCAAAAACACCATTGGTAAAAAGCGACGTCGTGACCCGGCGGATGGTAAAGTAGAGGGAAAGAAGTTATCATTGAATTGAGTGAGGTTAACACGGGCCAGCAAACGAAATAGGCTCGATAATTGCAGTTGAACAACATTCAATTTGCATTGCGCTAGTGGCAGCCATTACATAAGAGGTTTGTGCAGGTGATGAACGAGGTCGTGTATAGGTGATTAGTTGATGAGACACAACCCTCTTGTTAAAGAGTTCTTTGAAAAATAATATGGCATTGAATTAGTGTCCACACAGCCATTGTTTATATTTTACTAGCTGAACCGGCAAACTTTTTTTGTCATATAAATATTTTTTATCCACCAGCCACTACACAAACATTACTCACATGTTTTAAATCAATTATTAATTAAAAATTTGAATGTCACTCGCGTTTTATAACATATAAGTCACTTGAGAAAATTACAACCAAACCAAACCAAACATTTCCCAGCGTGACTTATATGTAAGAAAACACTCTAGTACCATAAATAATTATTATGGGAGAAACGTCATTTTTATTTACGGGGTTGAAAATCCATGAATTATTAGTATCGCTATTAGAAAAAAGGGGTTGATGGTAGAAGGGTGAAAATTTAGGGTTGTATGTATTTTTAATGCCACATAATAATAAAAAAATTTGTATAAAATTTTTTTAAAAAAATGGGGTGAACCACCCCCTTCACTTAGGGTTATAAAAAATCGACAACAACCTATTCTCAGACCTACTGAATATATACATATAAAATTTCATCAAAATCGGTTAAGCCGTTTCGGAGTAACAAAAACCGTGACACTAGAATTTTACACAGTATGTGCCCGGATTGTTTTTACAAGAAGAAAAACTTTTTTATTACTAACGTTTTCAGAAAAATGCATTCTTCATAAAACATTTTGCTTGTTCTAAAATGGTTAATCCCTTTTATACTTTTTCAAATTTCCATAGAGTTTTAGAGAAAATTAAAGAAAAACTTGAAAATATAGTATAGGAATTTTTCTGAAGTCCTAAAAATCAAAAGGCTATGGTGATATGATTTAGATTTCATTCTTTGATAGATGGGTATTATTAATTTCTATTAACGTCATATTTTTTACTGTTGTTAAAGTATAACATTTTCCGATTAACTATTATCACTCTTTTCGTAGAAATGAACTAAATAAATTTTGTACTTCTGCAACATTCTAAAACAGCAAAGTATATGAGCTTTTATTAAAATTCTAGTAATAACAATCTGTCAAGGAATGAAATCGACCTATTGATTTTTAGGACTTCAGCAAACTTTAGAAAAAAAATTCAACTATGTTTTCATGTTTTTCTTAAATTTTCTCTAGAACGGTATGGAAATTTGGAAAAGTGTAAAGGGGATTAACCATTTTAGAACAAGCAAATTTTTTTATGAATAATGCATTTCTCTCAAAATGTCAATAATAAAAAAGTGCGTTTCCTTTTGGAAAGACAATCCGGAGACATACTGTGTTGTACCTTTACTACAGGACACACTTTTTTGTAGTAAGGCTTTAACAATTAACAAAAAAACACAATTTTAAGAAAAAAATTGTATCCAAATATACCCTTTAAAAAATTAGATTGAATTTTACACTAATATAGATACCGTATAATCGAAAAAAAAACGGCGTCAAAGAGGGCAGGGAAATGACGATCGATTATAATTTTGGCGTGGTCAATCTCTAGACGTCATTTACTAAAAATTGACACTACTACTTTACTCAAAAATTAACACTAATTATAGAAAGATTAAAAAAGGATAGTGCTTCTCCAGACACACAAATCTATTTCCAAAAAAAAAAAATTTTTTGAATTTTAATTATTCTACCATTTAAAACAATCATTTTTACTCATTATAAAAATAAATTACAGCCTACTTAAAGCCCAAAGTGGCAGTAAGCACCCTTAAATAATAAAAAAAACAGCACGGGACAAGTAAATGATATCTAGGGCTTAACCTCGCTAAAATTATCACCGATTTTCATTTCCCTGCCGTCTTGATGCCGTTTTTTTTTCGATCATGTGGTATAATTTGTAATGATTATGTAAAATTGATACAAAATACAATTTTCGTTTTAAGACACACATAAAACAAACATGATGAACATCATAATTAGCGATGGGAACTATCGAATAAATTAGACTATCGAATGGTTAACGAATGAATGATTTCAACTATCGAATGGTTTTATTCGAATAAAATCATTCATTCATTTGTATACTAAAGCATATGTGACAACCTCACCGTGCGACTAAATGGTTATCGTTGAGTCACGACTATCGAATGCTTTTGATAAATGAAATTTAGTATTCGTTTGATTTTTGTATGCGTCAGTGCATTATTAGTTCTTCCAAATTTTTATAACTTCGCCGTATAAATACTGTGCTATTTTTGCGTTTATTAAAATAGTTAAAATACTAAAATAGTAGTTATTTTTTAATTTTATTTATTGACGATTGTGTGCATGTGCAGGTGGTCAAAATTTTTCCGAAAATTTGTGTGGTTTTCCGTAGTCCGATCTTTCAATAATTATTTAATTTTATATGGTATATGGTCTCTTTTTAATGGGAAATTTTGAGAAGTAGCAATTTTTAAGAGAGATGAGATGAACTTACAATTAATTTTAAAAATACATATTTGTATTTTAGATGTTTTAATAATATGAATTAGTTGAACTTAATAATCATATTTAAGTAATGCGGTTGTATAATCATATTTAAGTAAATGGTTATCGAACTCAAACTATGGGGTGAGAAAATTAAAATGAAAGTTTTACACGTGCCAATTTAAAAAAAAAAGTTAACAATGTTTATATTTTGTTTATGCTAATTCTTTTACATGTAGTTTTTTGCGAAGAAAAAATATTTCATTTATTTTTTAAAGTAAATGCCAGTAAAAGTAAATATAATTTTTAAATAGTAATATAAAGCACCTAATATAAATAATTTTGATTTCTAATTTTTTATTTATATTTTCCTTACATTACACTGCATGCTTAGAAAATTAATAAATGTTTATATTTCATGATTTTAAAATTTGTTGTTAATATAACAAATTAGTTCTGTAATTATTATTATTTAATAAACCACCGTTGCCAAAAAATTTAGAGACTATATTATTTTTAAATAGGATCTAATATAAATAATTTTGACATCTAATTTGTTGTTTATATTTTGCTACTACTTAAAAGAAAATATTTATATTAAATGATTTTAAATTTTGTTGTTAATAGGTATAACAAATTATTATTGTTATTATTATTTATTAAACCAGTCTTTGCTAAAAAACATTAAAAATAATTTTCCTACATCCAAAATAACAAGTATTATTGCAGTGTAACAACAGAATATTAATAAAAAAAATGCAGAATAGATAGTATGTCTTTATATTCCCTAATTAACTAAAGCCAAACAATAATATTCTTTGCTAATATCAACTAATACCAAAATATGGCAACAGCGCCTTTCATAATGTATTTTCTGTGTAAATACTAGCACCTCAATAAAAAAATAATGTGTCCTTATCTATATCTGACGCCGCAAAAAATCAAAGATGCCGGCTTCTTTCATAGCATTGCCACCGACCGCTGTCGGGTTTCTCGGAAAGAAACCTACGACGCCGGGCGACAACTAAAATTCAGTTAATATTTTATTATAATCGATCCTGACGAATGAATGAATTTCATAAATGAATGAATTTTATAAATGAATGGTTTTTGCTGCCGAATTACTAGAATACAATATTTCAAGGCAGATGACGGATCTATTCGATAATTTTTATTCGAATAGTTTTCAACGAATGTTTTCTTACTATCGAATTATTCGAATGAATTGCAACTATCGAATGTTTCGATTGTATTCATTCGATAGTTCCCACTACTAATCATAATATTAAAATAAATATTTTCATTTTGGAGATATCAACAGTCAATAAAGTCATGAACCCTTGAAATTAATCATAAGAATAAGTACACAGCAAGCGAGAAGCAAAATTACTGATAACAAGTAATAAAACTTTATTAAAAAATAAAAAGTTATAGTCAATTAAATGTGGGACAAATTTCTTCCTTCAACTGGACTGGACCAGCAAAGCAATAAACATAGATGGAGAATATCTTAACCATCTAAGATTCGCTGACGACATAGCGCTAATTGCCAATAGTCCCGAAGAACTGCAAGCACAAATTAATGGACTTATTACAGCCAGCAATGAAATGAGTCTCAAAATGAATTTAGCAATAACTAAAGTAATGTACAGGGTATCCCATTTTGGTTGAAATCATACGGTATCTCCGTTATTAGTGAAGATAGAAGGGTGCGGTTTGCACAAACCTGTCCCACTTTTTTGTCAAACGGAAGATGCGTGATAAAAAAAATTTTCATAGCCCTCTTCGTTTCCGAGCTACAGGGTCTTTTTGAAAATTTTGCAATTTGGGACAGCTCCTGTATCTCTGTTATTGTTAGAGCTATCGAGAAGGTGAAAACTGTTTATTGTAGAACTTTTTACGCAGAATACAGTGGCGTAGTCTGTTTTTCTACCAAAAAAATATTTTTGAAAATATAAACTAAAGTTATGTTTTTTTAAATGGAACACCCTCTATATTTATAAATCATATGATCTGTCTTGCCATAGGCTTCTCAAAAATATATATCACTCTATATTTATTTTCTCTATTTACTGCAATATTTAAAAGTTTTTATTAAACGATCATATTTATTAGTAGGCCATGATTGATAATAAAAGAAACTAAAGAATTATTAAAAGTATACTGCTATCTGTCTCTTGTTTTATTTTGGGAGTCGCTAATAAATTCTTTATATATTAGG